GGCTTAAAGGGCGAGCATGTTTGATGGGACAGTGATTCGAACCAGCGACCTTCAGATTGCGAGTCGAGCGCCCTAACCACTTGGCCATGCCGGGCCGTGGAAACATACAAGGAACAGATACGCGCACACACACACACACATTGACGTTTATTTATATAGATGAATTTTTATTTTTAAATCATCTTACTAGTCTTGAAAATTATAAACTCACCTCCTCGTTATATTGATTTTTATATTTCCTATTAATAACTATTTAATTGTTGTGTTAAGTATTTTCCGCGCTAAGCTTTACAGCGGGCTATTTGCACTCTGTCCGCAGCGAGGAATCAAACTGTGGACTTTAGCGATGTAAGATCCTAAACTTAACGGGGACTAGTTAAGAAATGGTAATCTCACAGTTGAAACATTGTTTTAATTTGTAATAATGATTTTTTTGCCTTAGAGATTGTCCTTTTTAATTGATAACTTATAACTTGTTTCAATGTGAAATTTTTTTAAAGATTTATAAACCTCTCATAGTTGATAATTTACTAAAATAACGATCGTTACCGATTTCTTGGAATTTTATTTTCTTCCAGTATGTTAAATTATTTTCCATTTTCAGAAAGAGTACTAGACCAAAAATGACATTATCCATTTTATTACCCGTCATTATTTGTTTGTTGAAATTTATTAATTCTGTCCTTTATTTAGAAATAAAGTTCTCTATTCTGAACATAGATTTTAAGGCTGCACACACACTGAAATTTGAGGATAGTTTGATTTCAAAATCGTTCATTTTATTTTATCTATCGAAACGTAACTGTCTTTACCCATAATTTGTTAAACCTTGTACATTTTTACTATTTTCAATTTCATAAATTTTAGTATTACATTCCAATTCTAAAATAGAGTTACTACCATATCCACAAAGGGTCGTGGGCAGTGAATGTTGGTTTAAAAAAGAGAAATGGTGGGTTTAAGCACAAAGACTTTGACCCTTAATCAGATATATTTTCATGACTATTCAAATCTGGGTTTGAAAAAATAATTGAAACGAAGGAATATCACCAACACACTTTGGGTGCTGTCACTGCAATTTTCTTTCTGGATTTGTATCCTTTGCAATAATACAAAGGGTGTAATTTATTTTGTTTGCTTGTGTCATCTTACTGTGCGATTTTAAATATATTATTCTTCACTACGATTTGCATCTTTTGTATTTGCATAAACATAAATATATACATATATATATTTTTTTTTCCTGGAAATTGTTCTAAGAAAATGATTATTTTTGATTCCTGAATTAAGAATCCATATGTCTATGTTTTAAGATTTTTTAAAATAATTTCTCTATCCATTAATTTCCAGAATAAAAGTAATTTGTTTTTAAGTAAACGAGGAAAAACTTTAACATAACAGCAAAAGTACAACGTTTCGACAAGGTTTTGTCATCATCAGGTACAAGTAATTTACACTGATACGGATATATATACAGTATTGAACAAAGAGGTCACATGACCGGATACTGTTGCAAAACTTAGAAGATGTATCTTGGCAACTGAACTAAATCTTATAAGATACTTGGGCTAAACAGCAAAGTAAGAGACCGTTAAGATTCAGATACAGCCATTTCTATTTTAAAAATGCTAACCACAGGGAAAACAATCAGCCAACAGCACTCTCCACATAACACGGTTACTCTTAAACAAATAGCAGCATTGACTGTTACACTTATAACGCTCCAACAGCCGAAAACGTGAATCGTGAGAAACGACGTATTAAAGCTCGAACTTTGGGCTTTCTGACATGCAGCCCTGCGGGCTAACCACTAAGCCACCCATACCAAATTTGAATAAGTACAAAGTAAACAATTTTTTTTTATAATTTTCAATACCGTCCCAGCTATACATAAAACAAAACGACAATTATAAAACAGCTCCAAGGAAATACGATTCCCCAAACTTTGGATATTTGAACAAATTATACCCTTCGGTGTTTCTTTCAAACTGATACTGAATCATTCTACCATAAACTTACATTAGTTAATGATATTTTAGGAGGAATTTGGTGGTCCTGTGGGTACATTACACACATACCCACACGTATATGCATATATATTTTGCTTGTTTTTTTATTTAACATTAGAATTATATTACTGTTTCTAAGATTTGATACCTCAGTAAAACAATACCATCAACTAAACATCCTGAAGATGATAGGATTCCCAGTTTGCCCCTGAAGGTCCACTTTTCGAAAGCGTTCGGGTTATAGGGTTTTTATACGTGATTATCAGTATCATCATGGTAACGTTAAGTTTGTACCCTTCAACTCCTGACGAAAATAATGATCAATATAAATGCAATAAGGTGTATTTTGTGATCGCCGAGATACGTGGGACTAATCCATCCAACATAGACAATTTCATTACTTATCTTATTGAAATATTTATTCTAACTTACTAAATATGAGCAGATGCATACAAGACTAAGAACAAGACATAAAAACATAATGTGATTCAAGAGTATGAACAATACAATATTAAAAATTTCGTTAACTTACCCGTCAAAGTTACAAAATCGAGAACAAGCACGTAGTAACGACACGGCACCTATGGACCGCTCACGCACACTGAGATCGTATATACAAAGGCGCATTACTCGAAGAAAACAAGCTTATATGAAACTTCTTTTTAACATCCAGTAAATTAACATACGCGTATATAATAACTTCGACACACCGAAAGAACTCTGTAACTGCATGTTGTCTCCTCCCCTCCTCTTATATAGTGAATCAATATATTTCATTAATGTAAAACTTAAGTGTGACCCGTATCTATGGCCTGTAAAATAAGCGACCCGAAATCAAATCTCTCCTAGTAAACTCCTGTTTGACAGAACCTTTACAACGGTGGAAGGTAGATGTGGGATC